ACTTTAATTCAATGAAAAAAAAAAAAGAAACTTTAATTCAATGGGATTGACTATGCTATTGAAAAAAAAATCCGTATTGTACTTCCAAAATTTACTACTTTAATAAGTGTTTTTATAATTTTTGTGAGTCATTTTATAACTAAAAAATTTATCATTTTTGTGAGTGTTTTTACCATTGTTGTGAGTGTTTTTAGTTTTTAATACAATTGTGGTAACTATTTTTACAACTTTTATTCGATTCAAAAAAATATTACATTTGTGATTATTTTTACCATGTGACCCCAACTCGTTTTTTTTTTTTCTCTGCTGCAACTTACAACCTTTAACTGAGAATAATACTGTTTTTTAGGTGTCAGTGAGTAAGGATTTAAGCTGAGACATTAATTGCCCCAACTGTGGAGTTGGGAAAAACTTTATGGGTCCTGAGTAATAAGCTTTTAAAGTTTGGAGGAGCGTAGGGACATTCTTGTGAACCTTTTAATTTTGGCTGATGACCTCCTTGATGATGAATGAATGTGCATGGTAAAATCCACTCGTTTTGCGATCACCTTTTTCCTGGATTCAGTTGGGTATTCAATCCATGGTTTTTAAGAACACCATTGATGACCATTGGTGGTGGTGGCTGGAGCGGAGCAGGAAATTTACCTTAGTGGAGGCAAATTTGATCAATAACAAAATAAAAAAGATTGAATTAATAATAACTATCAAACATTAAACATTGATTAGTAACAATTCTATTAAGCACATTTACAATATTTTCATCTAGTTTTTTTTATAATTTAAAATCATCGTAAAATAATCTCATCACCAACATAATTAATGATATTTTTTCAATTCATCTAAATTAACAACGGTGAGAGAGAGCAAGAGATGACACAGGACATAAGGGGGGAGAGAGAGAGAGAGAGAGAGAGAACGCATCCTCAAAAATGATTTTTCGATACGTAGTCAATGGTATATAACAAACGAATGATAAAAATTTATGAAATTAGAGTATAAATTTAATCTAAATGTGAGAGATGATTAAGTGAATTAAGACGCATGAGATTTTTTTTTTAGGGGACAAATTTAAAAGTACATAAAAACATGTATAAAATTTTGTTTGCAACAAAAAATTGAGTGCATTGACTGGCTCCGCCATTGGGTGGGGGTGGTGGGAATTGCTAGTGACATAGAAATGTTAGTTTATCGATAACATATTCAACTATCATCAAGAATATATTTTACAAATTTTTTATGCAGAATACGAGAGCAACCTTGGTTTAAAAAATAATGGGGTCTCGCAGGGTTAGGTTAGATACAGAACTAGCATTTAACATTATCTAAATAACGTGGTTATTTTCATATTCCAACCCACAACCTCGACATTACTAGGGATGAATGACTACATTCAAGCCATGTTAAAAAATTGATGCTCAAACTCAGGTTGGCAATCTGGTAAGAGACATTTTCAACTAGGGTATCAATTTTTCGAGACGACAAATGATCTGATTTAGATTGAATTTTCAATTCAACTCACAAAGTCTTATTCCAACATTTTTTAAGATCGGATTCATATTAAAAGACACTATTCTTCAACCCATTCTGGTGAGAATGCTTGCCACACAATTGCTGCAACTAGTTAAGAACCCTCTTTTCATCATTTTAATGTAAACCGTCTTTGGTAAAAATAACTGTCACAAATAAAGGCTAAGTACTCACTCGTTTTGCATCACCATCCTCAGAAATTGATGAAAAGTTGTTTCCATTATCCATAAAAAAGCAGTTGAAAAGTTTTATGAACAATTCAACCTGATATTTTGTACACAATGTCGGGTACAACAAGTGTGAAAATCTCACGTCAAATAGAAAAAATAGTGAAAGTGGAATGTATCCTTTAATCTTCTCCATTACCTGTCTTTCATAGCCATTATTTTCGACAGTTTTTGCCTCCATTGATATTTATCTTGACTGGTAATTTTCAGTTAGTTATTTCTCTTTTCAAATGTGGCTATAGTTGATCATTTCTCGCTTTTCTTTAAAAACTGTAACGTGACATTTTCTTAATACATTCAGATCTGTCAAATGTCAATACATTGAACACTACTAAGACTTTATATTTTAAGTCCAAACATGATCATAACTTTCTATAAAAATAATTTCGATACCCCAAACAATCCATCCAAATGTCAAATTTGTATGGTGGTCGTGCTAACAAGTACCCAGGGGCTCTTGTTTACTATGTTCATTTAATAATGAACATTTTTGTTGTTAGGGCAATAACTCCTTTTTACACCACCATGTTAAAAACGTTATCAACTCAGGCAAATATCTAGGTGTGGTTTAATTCCAAAGTATAAAAACTGGTTCCCAACTTTAATTTAAAGGTTTTGTCACTGCCATCTTTCTATTTACTACGTTAGGAAAAAAAAAAAACAAATTAAGTACCGTATCACTTAGCATTTTTTTTTGAATATTTACTCCAATTTTCAAGTTTTTTTTTTTTTGGATATTTACACCAATTTTTGAGTTTTTTTTGGATATTTACACCAATTTTAAAGTAACATTTATTATTTTAAATGTTTCACATACTCTTCAAGGGTCTGGCTGTATAGCATGAAAAAATATTCTTTATAATGGTGATACCACGTTAATATTGTCCCGTGGTATTATTAATCAATAATATGCAAACAAATAAAGAATGAATCCCACACAAGTCAATAACTACCCGTCCATATTAATAGATAACTACCCACTCTTCTTCCATCTAAGCCAATAACTATCTAAGTAGAGTTCACTTTATCCATGTAAAATTTTATTATTAATTGGTAATAATATGTCATTGATACTAACATAGTATCACAATTGTATTAAATATTCTCTCGTATACCATGATGTAAACAACAACGAAAGGGTCAATGGAAAGTGAAAAAAAAAATTTCATCAAATTACAGAAGCTTTCGAGGTGCACTCAGTTTTATATTCACTTACCACTTTTTAGATAAATTTTATTACATCTTAGAGTAAAACCTATTAATTTTGGGTTTTTATATATATATATATATATATATATATATATATTATTTTTTTATACAATATTACAAAATAAATTTTAGTACCGTTTTATTTCCTTTTTTTTCAAGTGATGGGTTTGGTCAGTTATATATGAGGCGGGCCCTTACTCTAATTCAATCTACATATATACTCGAGCAATTTCGTACATTTAGCAGTGCATCATATATTTTGGCAGGTCGTATCTCTGCTGAATAACTTGAACCTGTCAAAAATATTTATCTGGCGATAAATTTATTTTTTATCTTATTAATAAATACTTATGTCAACTATCTTTTTAAATTTTAAAAATACCTTTTCTTGAAAGGAAGTTAAATTAATTTCTTATCTTAAAATTTGTTATTCTTTAATGCAATGTCAATTAAAATACATCAATAAAATCTCCACCATAGATTTAAAACTCAAATTCATAGCTCTCTCTCTCCGGGCAGCTAGTGGCGATGTCGTCGCCATCTCCGTTCGTCTCTCTCCTTTGTCAACGAAGCTGTTTCATCAATGCCAAACTTCTTTCCTCAAAAATTCAATCCACCTCATAACTAGATGTATGTCCTAGTGATGATAGATGAGCAAATGGAGCTTTTAAGGCGACAGATCAGTCTATGCTACCATATGTGAGAAACTTGTAGATATGCATAGAATCGTCAATACTCAATAGAATCTTGCTGGTCTTCTCTCTCTCTCTCCCCAGAACTTGATTCCTTGTGATGCATTAGTAGTTGAACTTACGTTTGGTTAAATTTAATTAGTTAAAGTTGTTGGGGTACGATAATGTGTGCTCTATTGTTTTTGAACATTGGCTATTTTCACTGTTTTGTTGATTATGCTTTTGGTTTTTTTTTTCCTAAGTTCATTTTCTTTCAATTTTTTATGAGTTATGTTAATTTTGAGGGTAATGGATGAGAATCTTTGGCCCTTGTTGTTAATTTTCTGCTTTTTGTAATTTGTGGTATTTTTGTGGGGGTTGATTTGTTAAAATGAATGTTTCATGTTATTATTTTTTTGATTATGTTACTATTTTTTTTTGAGTATGTTACTATTGATGTTATTATTATTTTGAGCATATTATTGTTTTTGTTGAGCATGTTACTACTATTATTTTTTTTTATTTTTGAATATTATTATTTTTTGTGTTTGAATGATACTATTTTTTGCATTTGAATTTGAGAGAAATAGTTATTGTTAAGTATGTTATTGTTTTTGTTAAGCATGTTACTATTTTTGTTGAACATGTTAATATTTTTGTTGAACATGTTACTATTGTTATTTAAAAAAAATATTAATATTGAATATTACTGTTTTTATGTTTAAATGTTACTATTTTTTTGTGTGTTTAAATAATATTATTTTTTGTTTCTAAATGATAATTTTTTTTGTATTGAAATGTTACTATTTTTAATTTTTAATGTTACTTTATCTATATATATATATGAAAGATAAAATATTTTAATATTAGTCAAATGACTAAAATTTAAGAGTTTTTTATTTTTTGTTTTACTTCAGTTCTAAACGGAATAGATAGTCTTGTAAAATTGACAAAAAATAGATTTCATAACAAATAAGTTTTTTTGGCGGACTTAAATCTAAACAAGTCCATATAAGGAACCGGTCTTTAAAATTCCCAAAAAAATATGTTTGGCGGACTTCGTAACAAATGAATGCTTCATCTTTATATGAGTAATGCTAGATGGACTTAGTGGGTCACAATAAATGTTAGGACCCACAATGAAATTAATGATTGTAATTATCAAATATAATTTTTAAGTCTATTTTTTAAATTCAAGTAACATTACTCCCTTTATATATATATATATATATGCCAATTGGCTTTCTACATGACCACATCCCTCTCCAGCCTTTTCATACCCCCTCTCTCTCTCTCTCTCTCTCTCACAGAGTGCAACATTAATTAAGAACTTCACCAGTGTGGGCATTTGGGGTTGTTCACTAAAATGGGAAGGTCACCATGCTGCGACAAGGTGGGGTTAAAGAAAGGGCCATGGACAGCAGAGGAAGACCAGAAGCTCTCGGCTTACATTGAGCAACATGGCCATGGAAGTTGGCGTGCCATGCCGGAAAAAGCTGGTAAATTCTGCAGTACTTTTTTTTTAAAGTAAAAATTAGTTAAAAAAACAAAGAATTTTCTGAGTTATTTCTCAAAGGAGATTCAGCAAAGAGAAAATTCTCAAAACTTTAAAGACCAAGTAATAAGAGGTTAGCAATTAACAAAATGGCTGCCGTCCTTATTGTAGAGTTCAAATCTCGTTGTCCCCCACCTTGTTTGAAAAGAAAGAAAAAAAAACTAAGTAAAAACATCTCTTAGCATCCCAAAAGAGTATGATATATTTACTTTTTATAATGTTAAAAAATGGAACAACATATGTCAAAACATACTCAAATTTTTTTTGAATTATTCTCACTCGAGGGATACTTAGGTTTAATGATGCCGAATGTCGAACAAAACATCTCGCAACCCAAAAGACTAGATAATAACCCCTCTTACATCCCGAGAGAGTATAATAGGTTTAATTTTGTACGGACTACCCATAACTAAATTTTCTTCACTACCCAAAAGTATTGGTACAAATGAATTTTTTTTTAAGGATTTTCTCTTCCATCTCTTTGTTTGGCTCATTCTTTGTCACTTTGTGTGAGGGACTTGAATCTGCAGTATGTTTGGCAGCCATAGTTTTGAATAACAGTAACGGTTTACGTAATAGTCACGTGAATTTTTTTTATGTTGTTTCTTCTTGATATTCTGGTTTTTTGGTTGCAAAAAATCAAGATCTGGTGTGTACCATTGCAGGGAACCAATATGGCCATCTTCGTTTCGATTTGTGTGATGATTAATTACAATCATTTTATCACCATATATATGTTAGTTTTTGGATAAATATATGGTGGTGTTTGTATTGTATTTGTAGGGCTCCATAGATGTGGGAAGAGCTGCAGATTGAGGTGGATAAACTATCTAAGGCCAGATATTAAGAGAGGAAAGTTCAGTTTGCAGGAAGAACAGACCATCATTCAATTGCATGCTCTTCTTGGAAACAGGTGTTAATTAGGGCTACCTTTCATAACATCAGTTAATGGCTTCCTCAAGCTTCATTCAGTCCCCCCCCCCTCTCTGTGGATGACTGGCCTGGAAAAATTAACTTTTATGATCGAGTGAGATCAGATCTTATAATAAAAAGATTTCAGTATCGTTATCATTTTATTATTTACATCTAAAAAATTGATCTAATTTGTTAACTATTAAATTAACATTAAATCTTAATGTTTAATTAGATCAACAAATTATGTATCAATAGCATTGCTCTTCAATTGCATTATTATTCAGCTTATATGTAGATATTATAAATATTCTTATAAGAATTATGTTGTTTGTCAGACTCATTTATTAAATTTTTGTTTATAGCATATTCGTGTAAGAAAATACTATATAATTCAAATTTGCATTTCAAATGAACGAGATTATTGGATGAGTCACTTCCATCAATTTTTTTAAATGAAACCCATTCATCCAACAATCTTTATACTTTTTTTTCCTTTTCTATTTGTATTGCTCATTCGTCTTAGTCAAAATAGGTTGAGATTTCACACAACATTTCTAATAATCGTAATTCCTCAAAGTCAAATTAGTTTTTAAATTTATCTAGCAATATTGCTGTTTCTAATAATGTAGATTGTAGTAGTGTTAGAGTTTTTCGTCATTGTGGACTGTACGTTTGAGTGATTCTCAAATGTACCCACTACTCATATTACGGCAGTAGTCTCCGTTATTAAATGTGGCAACTGCAACTCTTGAGTTTTGAGATCTGTTTCATTTTGATTCAGATGGTCAACCATAGCAGGTCACTTGGCTAGGAGAACTGATAATGAGATCAAGAACTACTGGAACACCCATCTCAAAAAGAGACTAACCAAGATGGGTATCGATCCGGTGACTCACAAGCCGAAAACCACCGCCCTCGGCTCCGGTCAGGCAAAGGACGCCGCCAACCTCAGCCACATGACTCAGTGGGAGAGTGCTCGTCTTGAAGCTGAAGCAAGACTAGGCCGAAACTCCGAACAGGTCTACAATCCTTATAACCCCCATCTCCGCCTCTCCGCTTCCGCTCAACTCCTTAACAAAGCCTTGGTTCCACCACCCCCAACACCGCCATCACGAGAACTAGCAGTGACACCACCTCTTCACGTACTAAAGACATGGCAAGAGGGGTGGCTAAATTCAAAACCTAAAACAGATATTGCCATTCCGGGTGGCTTTTTAACTCCCGCCGGAAGTCTTGAGTCTCCGATCTCCACATTTAATTCTGCAGAGAACACGTTCACGAACCCTAGTAATGGATTCGCTATCAATTCAATGGCAACAATAAACAACTTCGTCGAGAACTCAGACTCGATCAAAGGTGGTGGGATGATAAAAGGAGATTTCCAGTACCCCGGAAAATCGAACAACGAACTCCATGAAAAGATTGAGAGTTCTTCAGTGAATTTTGCAGACATGGCATACCCAACTGGTGATATTGACTATCTGGGGCTTCAAAGTTTTATGGAAGGCTTTACTTACATGCTGGTCGATAATGGTGATGGCCATAACTCATCATCAAACACTGTTGGCCAATCTGACATTGAAGAGAACAAGAATTATTGGAATAGTGTTCTAACAAATTTGCTGAACTCTCCACCAGCAGGTTCTCCAGTACTGTTCTAGCTAGATGACCAGATCAATAATGTTACTAGTGGTAGTGATAAAAAATGGTTCATAATAAAGTGTCATTTGATTATCAGCAAGTGCAATAATGATATTCCTTATCTAATTATAAGTATTAATGACACGATTATTTTTACTTTGAAATGTCATTAGCAACTTGTTTATTTCCTTTTCCAAATTTTAAAATCTGCAACCATCGATTTTGAGGGTCTTTCAGAACATTTATTTTTCCATGTCTATAAAAATAGTTTCATTGATAAAAAGAAATTTAGATATATAATATTGTTGAATGAAATCAAATATTGAATGGGTCTGGCGAAGGACATGAGATTTTTTTTTTTGAGACAAAAGACTACTAGATTTTGGTACTAAGGAAAAGTTTGTAGGATTCATTGAGCATACCACATCTATCTCTAACTTTTACTATTTTAATAAGTGTTTTTATAATTTTTATAGGTCATTTTACAACAAAAAAATTTATCACTTTTGTGAGTGATTTACCATTTTGTGGGTATTTTTACCATTATTATGAGTGTTTTTACTACATTTGTGATAACTATTTTTACTATTTTTTTTTCGGTACAAAAAAATTACTCATTTTTTGGTCATTTATTACATTTGTGAGTGTTTTTACCACATTTATGAATGTTTTTATCACTGTTGTAGTAACTATTTTTATCATTTTTTTTGGTACCATAACAGTGTTAAAAACACTCATAAATGTGATAAATAGAGGCATAATACCAAAACAAAAAAAAATCGGTATCGTAGTCATCCCTCCACTTGAGAGGAATACGGCGGTACTAAATTGGTACAGTACTAAAATTTATAACTTTTTTAAGTTAAACTTATAATTTTTTAAGATATAAGTTACCACTACAAAAATTATAATCATTCTTAAAATATAATGATCAATTATAGAAATCAATATTTTTATAGGTAAAATTATAATTTTTAAAAATTAAGTAACACTTTAAAAATGAGGTTATAAGCAAAAGTTTCACTTTTTAAAAAGTGAAAATAGGGCTCTAAAAAGTCATCTAATATGCTACCATGACTCGTGTTAACAGATCAAGAAGTGGAAAGAAAAATTAACAAAATTATAAATGTTCTTTACACTATATCGGTCAGTGTTTCTCGTTAATCGGTATGTTTATTATTTATGCTAGCGGATTATATTATTTTTTGGATTTGTGTTAAAACCAGTTAATCCTAATTTGTCAATTTCATATCGTATTCCTGTTATATTAATTTGTAAAGTTCCATCCCCCTATTGGTTACTTTCGAGCAATGTTACTTATATCGCAGGTGTTTTGATACATGATAAATTTCATACAAGTATGCAGTACAATGAGATAAGCTTAATTGGTACAGTATTTTTTATTGCAATTGGTTTCGAAACTTTTATCTTGATCATTTTTACTACTATATAACTTTATATATCATAGAATATTCATAAATACTAAGTCAGTCACTATTTATTATACACCTGTGCTCAATTTTTTATTATCTAAAATAATATATAATTTATAAATTTATATACACGTAGTCAATTATTATGGTGGCGTTTGACAGCCACCTGTTTTTGTTTTCATTTATGGCTAAAAAAAACAAAAATACATTTGGTGAATGTTTTTATTTTTTTAACATATCCATTTTAAAAACAAGGCTAAAATATGAAAACATTCAAAAAAAAAAAAAAAAAACACATGCGCGACTTTGATCTTCCTTAGCAACATCTAAATGGATTTTTTTGTTGGGGTATAAAAGGTCATCTTTCTCTCTCTCTCTCTCTCTCTCTCTCTCTCTCTCTCTCTCGATGCTAACGACGAAGACAAAGCCATCGCCAATCGCTGCGAAGCCATTACTCCATCTCCAAGGTCACTCCATCTTCATTTTACTCCATTTTTTCAGGTCTCTAGTATCTCTCGATTCACTCTCTCTCTCTCGTCCTTCTCTGATGGTTGGGTGGTAGGTTTTGCTGGGGAGTTTCAGGATTGAGTTTCTGGGGTGGGTAGTGGGTTTCGGTGGTTAAGGTGGTGGGGGTGGGTTTTGGTGGTTGGATTGAGGTTGAGTTTCGGTAGTTGTGGTTGTGGTAGTGGATTTCGATGGTTGTAGTAATGAGTTTCAGTGGTGGTGGGGATGGGTTAGGGGTGGGTTTCGGTGGTTGTGGTGGTGGATTTCAGTGATGGAGGTGGGTTGTGGGTTTTGGTGGTGGGGTTGGGTGATGGGTTTTTGGTATAATACCAAATAAGTTTTTTATTTTTGTTTTCACTATTTTTTAAATATAAATGACCACCAAACATGTTTTATATATTTAATTTTTATCACAAGAAAAAAACCAAACTTAGTTTTGTCTTTTTTTATAAAAAAAAACATAAAAACGAAAACATTACCAAATGCACTCTATGTATTTTATATTTGTGCTATATGTTTTAAAATAAGTCGATTTAAGATTAGTATTATAATTTAGAATCGTACATTTTAGTGATCTGAATCATGAACAAATCTCATTTGAGATCGATGTACTCAAATTATAGGTTGTCAAAGGTTTAGTGAATTTTGGTAAGAGCCACCATTTCCATATTGGTAATGAGTAATCAATAAGACTGCAAAGTGTTACATGTAGCATGCAAGAGTATGGAGCATTCTAACCTTATGTGTAGTAGCGGATCCACAATGGGGCAGCTGCCTACACTGGAATTTTAAAAATTTTTGGAGAGTAAGTATAATTTTAAAAATTTTAAAATTTATTATAGGTAGTTATGATATTTTGAAAAATATATGGGTCACTTATAAATGTCAAAAAAATTCCTTTAAAATGCCAAATGCCTATGTTATGTGTTAGATTAAATTATTTTGATTTGGTGTTTTGAATAGTTTTATTGTAATTAGTTAAGTAATTCTTATATTAAAGTTTAGTTTAATAGAATAGTCATAGTTTACGTTTGTTTCGATTGGTTGTTAGTGGTCGGTCTTCCCACCAAAATGCTTCTGTAGTGGTGTTAATTTGTGAACAAGGTAAACCTAATGGGAACCAAAAATGGGGGTATCGCATTGGACATAAGACGATCCAAAAAGCGAAGGCCCACCCAGTTGAAGGAAGGAGCTTTGGAAACTTACCTGCTTATTCAAAGGGGTAAGGAGCAACCTATTGTACTAATAATAAAAAAAGGGGTGAGATAGGCAACATGCAGCTCAAGATGATGTGCTTTCTGCCTCTATTCCTCGAGAGTTCTGGGCAGATGTCGTCCAGACATTTGTCTATCTGATTCACCGCCTTTCGTTCTTTTTGGCATTTCTCTAGACCTCATATCCTCTTGGACTCCAAATAGAATTCTTTCTATCGAACTTAGCAGAAATCATTGGAGCATTAGAGACCAAAGCCGAAGTAACGACTTCATTCCTGCACTAGAATTAGTAGTTGGTAAAGTCGACAAGAATTCAATTAATTTTCAATTAGGCCTTAAGATCACAAAGAAAGTTTTCTAGAATCTCAGTTTGTTGGCTTTTGTGTTGTTTATAAAGACATTTTATAGAAAGATCAAAAAGCGACAAGGCAATAAACAAAATATTGCACTAAAAAAACCAAAGGTTTAGGTAATCAGATGGCATAGAGCATGAGTATGCATGCCTGTAATTAAGGTCTTCTCAATTTCATATTAGAGACAATTCGAGGACTCGAAGAAATCTAATTGTTGCTAGGACTAAGTACTATAACAAGCTAAATTATGTAATACAATCTACACTTCTTAGTTTTTCAATCTGCAGTGCCTATAAGCAAAGGAAATATGAACATGGGAACCATGTCTTAATCATCTGTGTGTTTGTGTGTGTGTGTTTGTTCATCCTTAAACTACCCAGGTTAATGTATAACAAGCTTTGAGGGGCAAAGAATGAATTTATCTCCCACGAGGATTGTTAAGTTTAGGCTCTGTACTTTGCCTTCTTCTTCCTGCAAAATGAATAAACTTCCTAGGACCAAAGTGCTTCGATCGAAGACACTCCAATGCTTAAGTCAGTAATTGATTGTAGAAAATATGTGTACAGGGAGAATTGAGTGTACCTTTTACTGTGCATACTCAATTCCCTTTAAAGTGTCTCCCTTCGTTAGGGCTTCCCTGATTGATGATGCAAGGTGGCACACCTCCTATCAATCTGCAATATTTTTAGGGGATTTGCTGAAATATCTTCATACGCTCCCCCAGTTGACTAGCTCTTCCTGAGCTGTTGATTATGCTCATTTGTTACACAAGAATGCCTAAATTATAGGCCACCCCTCAGTGCGGTGCTGCTTACATGTGGAGCTCGACTTTGTTTAAACCGAGCTCTTGTTCATCTTGCCAAGTTCTAGAACAATTTGGGCCAATCTTGCAAGATGAGAGTCTATAACTTGACTTAGTTGTTTTTTTACTGTTTCATGACATGATTTACCATGTTACCCTCACGCGACCATATTAAATGCTCCTCACACATGTCGTAACTTTAATGCCCCTTCATTTGTCCCCAGGAAATGTGTGTCAGAAGTTTTTTGTTTGGCATTCATTTCATGTTCCCAGGTTATCATTGCATGCACTTCATTCTAACTGCGTGTCTTGCATTAAATGTCTATCCTTTGATCTTTAGTTATTTCTTCTTAAGTTTATGCCTTAAAAAGAGGGTGCAAATTCTCTTTACTTCTTCATTTTCTCTCCTTTTTCTAGCTTTCTTCTTTGTTGCTCTGAGTTTTATCTTATTCGCCATGACTCCTCTTACTTCTTCAGAAATTCCTGGTTTCAAAACCAAATACTAAATCCCAGATGATGTCAATATCCACACTGCTGGGACTGATGAACCTCTGACTGGTACTAGAGAGAGCATTCTTATCCATAATCGAACTATTACTGAAGGTGGGGTTCGCTTCCATCTTCATCCCCTTCTTCTTTAGGTGCTTTCAGCACTGAAGCTGTGCCCCATCCAATGTTGCCCAAATTTCTTTAGGATCGTAATGGGCGTGGCTG